TCCGGCTCACTGTACGTGTTTGTATATATATATTTTTTTTATTTATTTATTTGTATATATACAACGGTTAAACAGAGCATTCCTTTTGATGAAAGTTGAAAATGGAACGAAAAATAAGAAAATCTGTATACGAAATCTTCTTTCTTTGAAGCAGGAAAAATCAAAAAAAAAAAAAAAAAAGGAAAGTTGTAGGGAAGAGGATAATGAGACTGACAGATGAAAAACATATATGTATACAAACACGGACAGAGAGCCAGAAAAAACTTAAATTTCAGACGAAATGTGTAGCTTTCTTAATTAAAAATCTTGCGAAACTTTTTGTTTTGTTTCATACTCCTGTAGATATTTTGTATGCCTCTCTAGCAATTATTCTTCTTGCATTAACCGGTGCAATTAAAGCAGAAAACAGAAAAGCAAACAATTTTCCCCTTCTTCTCTTTGCTTTCCCTATGTCACCATTAATGAAACAAAGGAAATGTTTTCTGTTCACAGATTGTTGCAGTAACACGGCAACAATCCAGAAAATTTACCAAAAAAGAAGATAAACAAAGCAATGTTTAATCTTTCCTCTGTTTCCTTCTCAAACACCATCTGTCACTGTAAGAATTTGTCCACTACTTAAAGAATTTTACCAAGTAGCTGACGATAACACACATTTTGAAGGAATAAACTGAATCCGGCTAATTAACCACATTCGTCTCGCAATTCGTCCGGCTTAAAATTCATTCTTTCATCTAAAGTTCATACCCTTTTTCTGCCATTTTCAAATTTCTTTGACTGTCTGTTTCTCCTACTCTCTCGCCTTAATGTTTTTCAACGCAATAGCAAAAGTAGTTAGAAAGAGTAAAATAGCCGGATTAATGGTATTTTTCAAGACGTATATTATATCCAATCACTCATTGTTACTCTTTAGGTATTGAACACGATTTTACATTGGGAGACGTTGTACAAGAAGGAAGAACAGGAAAAACAATAGTTTTGAACAAATTTGTATTATGACAGAAATTGAATAAATGAGAAAGGGATGTAAAAAATAATGATTTTCTTTGTTTTTTAAGCGGAAAAAATTAGAAAAAGTTTTCTAAGCTTTTCAGCTGAAAAAGTTGCGCATTTTGCCCAAAAATTAAGCTTTCTAGTTGACTCATCGTTTGCGTTTGTGCTAGCTTATGAAAACTTTTGTCAATTAGAACCGAACTATTTAAAACAGATGGCAACAACTGGATTAATAATATTGACTTCAAACGTCTGACATTCAAATTAATGACAGTTTTGTATTCACAGAGTAATTAAATATGAAAAAATATCAAAATATCATAATATTTAGATATACACAAATTTGTTTAAATTTTGTGCTTAGGGTACTCTAAAGAACCTTTTGTCGAACAAGCTGTCAAGACCATAATTGCAAAATTTTTGAGCATTAGAGACTGTGTGGCATTGCATTTTTAAAATTTGCTGTAGCAGAAAATTCTGCAAAGTGTTTTGCCACGTTTTATGCCTGATTTCTTCACTTTGCTGAAAGAATGTTGCCTTTATTTACCAATAGTTTTACGATTGATTTTATAAAATTTTGAACAAATGATGGGAGAAGACCGATAATCAACATGTACTTTAAGAAATCCTTTTATTGGAAGCTGAAAAGCGGGACCAAAGCAAGACAGTTTTTTAACTGGATTTTTCTTCCTTATCACATGTTGATTATCGGCTGCAAAGAAAGAAACAGAGAAGAGAAGACAGGTGGAGAGAAGATACAGGCAGCAATCTTCATTTATGTTTTCTATAATCTGTATTTGTACGTTTCCTTTATTTTGATTTCAAAAAAATCAAAAAAAATCAGTACCCAGACACCTGTGAATACCTTCCTCCAAATGTTTGAATTTTACAGCAAAAGATTTGGTCTTACATCCTGTAAAAACACTGCCCTTTGTTTCCGAAGAACACTCGCATAATGTATTTCAATCAAAAATACTCAAAGGCATCATCGCATCCCCGATTTAAAAATCTACGTCAATCTGAGCTTCGAAAAAAAACATGAAATTTTCCGACGATTTCACTCACTTTCTTAAACTGTCGGAAATTAGACAACGAACTAAACACTTTTATGTCTTGAGATTTAAAACGGCTTATAATAGGCTACTCATGTAGCGCTAAGAAACCCTGTTGTCCGTTTCCAAAAATCCACTGAAGTCATGCTTCTGTTCAGCAGCGTTGTTGGAATGTTGAATTTTAACTTTTTTTTCGCCTCGTCCAAGTTTCACCAGTAGCACAGTACTATTTCACAAAAAACTTTTGTTTATTCTTTACAGTAAATGCTTTTACTGCCTACCGTCCTTTTTGTTGTCGTGTGCTCTAAGAAAGATGAAAAATCTCCACTAAATTTTGTGCTAGAAATTGAATAGAACTGAAAGAAATGCAAAGATGAGAAACTTTTTTGAGCTGCTCGTAAATACTCAGCTGCACATTATAATGTATAAGTTAAACTAAAATAATTTAGATGATAAAAAATTTGCAGCTGCACTCGATGCGCATTTCGCTTAACTGTAAGAAAAGATAATTAAACTGAAGCGACCACTTATCAATAGTTCCGCATTTCCCATTAGATTCCACATCGAATATTCCCCAAATACGAATTTTACAATCCTGTAACTTTTGCCTCTGATTGTCGATAACTAAGAAACGATTTTTAGAAAGCATCTTATAGCAATGTAACAACGCAACTTCAGAATTAAGATAATTTTAGCAACCAAAAATGTTTACTGATCCTCCTAAAAAACTTCCACCGTGTTTTCACCTAAATTGAAACGAGAATGAGAGTGGCAAAACCTAAAACGACTAATGTGACAATCCTTTCCGAAAACAACCTTTCACAGTAACAGCGCTGTTCTTTGTAGAGGTTTTTGCAAACGTGTCAGCTGAAATAATGAAGTTGCAGAAGCCAAAAAATTTTAGACTACAATAAACTTGCAAACTTATCATTTGATGTGTAAATTAGCAAGCCGTAGAAATTTCAACTTTCCTTGCACAGCGAGTTAGGAAATGACTGTCAACATAAGACGTTGTGATTCAGCTCCACCTTAGTCAGCCTATAAACACCGCTTCTTAATTCGTGTGTTTTAAGGAATTTCTGTATTGCATCCTATGAGAGCGAAAAGTTTATAAATCACGCCTTGACGAGGTTCACTGTAAAAGAAGAAATATCGAGAACTAAAAGACAAAGCACAGAATTATACAGTTATTGTTCAGGCGCTTCAAGTCAAGGAGAAATGTGCATTGCTCTCACTTACCAAATTTCCTCATTCTTCACGCCATAAACCCTCCCTCTGTTAGCCAAAACTTTTTCTATGGCGGCCTATCGTTGAAACCTTTTCTTTAGATATATAAACACCTTTTTGGTCTGCTAGTAAGCACCACTTATCTCATCTCTTCATAATTTTTAGTAAAGCTTCACTCTCAAGTTATGTCGAACCCCACAACCTTATATGCATTACCACAGCAATGTTCTGTCAATCAGATACCGGAAAAAAAAGAGCATCTAAACGTGGGGATTCTCGGACTTGGAACGTATCTCACACCATCTCCTTTCAAAAGGTTGATTGGTATCTACCTAATAATTTAGAGCCGTTTTGTCTCTTCAGAACGTCCACAGAGAACTCGGAGTAAAGAGGATGATTTCGCTCCTCACCAAGTAAGATTTAGTAATGCTCTTATCTCATCTTTTGTCTCCTTCCAAGTATTAAACAGACCGAAAGTTTAAAAATGCAACTGTACGATTTGCAAGAGTCTAATATTTATATCACATCTCGTAAATGCTTCCAGTACTGATTCGAAAGGAAGACCGAAGAAAGACAAACATTGACTTAGATTGACTAGCATTTCAGCCAGAAACTAAATGACAAGAATTACTGTATAAAAAATAATTATCTAAGAAAATGACGCAATTTTACACAAAGCCCGTGCGAATGATTGGACCAAATAATAAAAAATTGCTTTTCATAAAAGATCCATTATTGCTTGCTTATTTGACGTAATCTCCTAGAAGAAAACGCCCATTATTCCTTTTCGTAACGAGCAAACAGACCTGAGACATCTCTCATATATTTTTACCTTGAGAAATTTAGCGAATGTTTTTTAAAATGCAGAAACAACTAAGAGGACGTAACCATAAATCCAGCTTACATCAGAGGGTAGTGAGCAGAAAAAAGACAACCTGACATCACTCTAGGCCCTGAACTAGAATTAATACGTTTTAAGGAGTAGGAACATGCAAGAATGTACCAGCAATTTGAACCTTGATAATAAAGCTTAAAAAATTAGAAGTAAGCACCTCGTCAGCGAATTTTCCAATTATAACACCGAAGAACAAACAAATCTGTCATGAACAAAAAGCGTTTTAGCCACAGAGGCAAAGCAGTAAGCTATAAGAAAAATTGCACATATGGCAAGAAAGTTGAAATAATTGAAAAAAGGTCAACAACATACGGCAAGAACTACATATATTAATTACAATACTCGGTGTGCACTTATTTATGTTACCTTTACTAGGTTCTCTGACTATAAATTAAACGCGGCGATATAAACACATAATTAATACCTAAAATTACTGCAAGCAGTAGAAGAAGTTACTAAACTGAAGTCCATAAACAACTTAAAAACTATAGTTTCTAGCGAGAAGGCAATCAACCAAAAAGTGAAGCTCGCAACTGCAACCTTCTTGCCTCACCACAGAACATTTTTCATATACGTCTTCAGATATTACATAGCTGACTATTGCTCCCTAAACGCTCTCTTGAAGAAGCTGTGCCAAAGAAAAATACCTATAACAATCTTTAGTCATATAACAGAAAGACGTTTTTTTTGTAACTTCCTTTAAAAAAATCGTCATCCCTTTTCTACTACAATCAAAGACTTCAACCCCTAACTTCTCCTTAGTAAACAATAAATTTTTTTTGCTAACAACTGCACATTTCAGTAAAAAGTTACATACGTATGACGTCAGAAATTCAAAAACAGACATCAATATTTTCGTCGTCGTCTTCTTTCCCGGTCGATTTTGACCCGACACCGCCAACGTCTTCCTGGTCAACGGTAGACTCGATTGTTTTATCCGCAAGTGATTCCAGTAGAATATTGTTAGTGATAATGCAACTCTTCTCTACCATTTTTCTCGGTGTAAAATTTTTTCGCCTCCGTTTTGAAGACACTTTTTCACAATTTTGCTGCGAAATCTCGCCGATATTTTGCGGTGGTGTAACACGATTTTTAACTTCACATTTTTTGGCTTGCGATATCAATGCCCTTGTGCAGTTGTTTCCTTCCAGCGAAGTGGTGGCGGTTGAGCCGTTAGGCAATGCAATTTGAATGTTGTTTCTTTTTATAAACCGTGCCACCCACCCCTATAAAAAAGTACTAATTGCAAAAAATTATCATTTTAGGGGTTAACGATGATACATCCAACAAGTGCAAACTAAAAAAGCTTTCAAGCTTTCAGTTCTGAATAGGGAGACAATAATAAACAAACAATTGAAGCGTGTCAACTTTGTTGACCAAACAGTGGCTGAACTTTTTTTAAAAGAATTAGATAAAACATAAAGCTATAAATGATACCATATTAGCAGTAAAGTCCTGTTCTTTAAAATCGCCATCCTTTTCGCATATTTTGATCCATATATCATTTGCTTTTTCTTTAATCGACTGCCATGTTAGCGGCGAATCTGACCCTACCGTTGACGCCACATATAAAAGCTAAAAGTTAAAACAACATTCATCTAGCATCACATTTTGATGAGAAGGAAAAATGAGAAAACCAAAGTTAATATTTAGGAGAAGCGAGAAGTAAGGTTTATTTTAAACGGTGGATACAAATGGCATTATTATCAAAGCTAACGACAGCTGTTGAGTAAACTACAAGACGCATTTTTGAAGAAGGTCAGTGTAAATTTTAGAAGCACTATATTTAAGGTTGTAAATAATTCTGTATTTAAATTTAACTCTGAGTGGGACTGTATTCTATTTTTTACTCATTTCTAATGATTAGCACCAAAATAGTCTGATCTGGAAAAATGATAAATGGCGTTTATTAAGTGCAACGCTCTTTAAAAAATGTGTTTGTTCTGAAGTGAAAACACTAAATATTCATTTACAGTTGTCAATCAATAACTAAAAAGTAATAGCATTATGCTTTATAAAACAGACTTAGTCTGAACATCTGGTTTACAAACAAATAATACTTATCGGTTCTTCAAAGAAATACTGTTTTACGACGTCTTTTTTTAATAAAGCACGGTAATAAAAGTAAAGAAACGCATTCTGCAGTAAATGGGAATAAATTGGAAATTTTGCGCATAAGTACAACAATGCCAACAATGCTTTGCTGATACAAAACTTTACAAAACACTTTTTCAGCTATTTCTTCTTGAAATGCTTTACAAAAAGATCAATAACATCAATGAAACATAGAAACACTTTCTTTTACTCATTCGCAACGAAGAGTTATTTATTGTACTAGAATATAAAGCACAATAATAACTTTTCTATTCAGGTAACGTAGATTTTTTAAAAGTAAATTCCTGCTCTTCAGTCACAAAGCAAAAAATGATTTCAACTTATAAAAAGAGAACTTTTCTGTATAATCTGTTTTTCAACTTCTTATAA